TAGACTTTGTTACAAGGAAATATAAAATTTTCTTGGAACGTCTGTTTTTTTTGTGTTGGCAAAAGGATTAGCGGAAAAAGTCCATCATAGCTAATTTATATATCCAAAGTGAATTTAATTTTATTAAATGTATCTTCAAACTAATTTCAGATCTTTTTAACTTCCTTTTATTTAATGTTGAGTAGGTAATTATAACTGTTCAAAGCCACTTGACAAGATATATTATTTTAAAATTTTTTTTTCAATATTAGTCTAGTAGTTACTATAGGTAAGTTAGCATTTAATTCATTGTACTAAAAACATATAAGAGATATTGTTTTTTTTACAATGTATATCTATTATTATACAAATAAATAAAGAAATAATATTTACCTATAAAAAAAAAATATATACTGTATATATATATATTTTTTTGAAGTAATATTAATAATAACAAACTGATATGAAGTAAATTAATATAGTTTAATAATATAGAAAATTGGTTATAGATAGTAATTTCTATAATATATGAAATATATATGTAAATAAAATAATAAAGTATATCAAGTAAGATTTAGCTGGTTAACTAAATAAAAAAAATATATTGAAATTACTATTATTATATAATACAAAATAAAAGATATTATTTAAAAAAATTTTTTTTTGTTTAAAAAAATATTATTAAAATTTTTTATATTACTATAAAAATTTAACAAACTTATTTTTATTAATTTTTTAATAAAATAATTATTATAAAAAAATAAAAAAATAATTTTTATTATTAAGTTATAAAAAGTTTTTTAATTATTAAATTATTAATAATATTTGTAACAATTATTAAAATAACTTAAATAAATTAAATGTATATAAATATATAATATATAATTTTGTAATATATTAAAACAAACCAATCAAATAATTAACTTGAGTTATTTAAAACTAAAAAATAAATATTTTTTAAATAAAATTTACGGTAAATGATTTTTTTTTTTTTTAGTGATTTACAAATCGCTTTTCTAATACTTTAACAATGATCCCGTTTCCTAGTTTATATTTTATTTATATTTTCTATATAAGTAAGAAATTTGTTAATATCCATATATAGAGAATGTATGTTTACTTGTGTTCATATTTTGGAAATAGTTATCTATGGTCAACATGAGAAAACAGTTTCGCTTACTATACTTTGTTTAAAGATTGATCTCATCCATATGATTTCCAAAATGCATCAAAACACTCTTTATACGTGTATTATCTTATTTGTGATTGATAAATTCATCCATCTTATATCTTTTGCAAACTCTAATTTGTCCTGTGAATTTATTAATCTTACTTGTCCTAAGAAACAAAATACCTATTAATTTTACTTGTCCCACGATGTACTTTACACGCCCGCATCTTTATTTCACAATATCTTGTGCTCACATTCTACAAACACTATAAACGTTGTACCGACCGCTCTACATGATTTCGTGCCCGAACTTATATACTGTACGGTATGTGAATATTTAGCGAATCTGATTTATGAACCGCAACCTATGATCTATTCAAGGAACTTTTCTTCCGGAAGAGTATAGACCAAATTAGAGATACTCGAATCTGCAATTAATCGGACTATCCTTAAATTTTTGCAAAAAAGTAATTGCGGCATATCAAGTGCTTACAAATAATATTTACAAACGCGTGTATCCTGTAATGTAAAGTTTTTCCTTAACACATTGCATCATAATGGTTGCGCAGTACGCCTAAGTACATTATAATTTATATTATTTTTCCAAATAAATAAATACAGTATGAGCTGTATATGATGACTATTCTCGGAGATTTTCGGATCCTAGAATGATAGGCCTCAAGATCGGAGCCAAACTTAAACTCATATATAGCAAACGTTTAAATTAGCCAAGTGAAATTCATAATTCGAATATCATTTCAGAAAATCCTAGAGATTTTTTTAGGGCCGTCGGGATAGAAATGAATAACCACGAGAGTTGCTGACTAATAATCATATTAATAATTTGTTAGACGCGGTTAATTTGCATGTAATGTTAATCTTGTTACAAACAAAAAAACGGGGGTTTCTACAGTAGTGTTCAAAAGGAGCGCATTATCTGATGATTTTTAAGCATCAATGATTGCGCGAATGGTATGGTCGGGCACCAAAAGCAATGTCCGATCATTTTTTTTATAATGAAATATATAAAAAACCAAGGTGAAGGTATAGAATTTATACTGTATATTAATGAAACTTGCAAAATTTATTGATTTTTTTTAAAAAATTTGAATAATCATCACCATTTAACTTTTGGAAAATACAATATAAGTAAGTAAACAATTATATTTATATATATATAATAACCAATTTTTTTAAAGCTGGCAAAATGTCTGCGGTAAATACATGATCCAAAATATTATTCAATTAGTTTTTTTAAAAAAAAAAAAAAAAAAATTTTTTTGGATCCTATTTTTTATTATTAATCCATTATACTGATATTAAAAATAAGATAATTGATTTTGATTAATAATTTAGGATTAATAATTTTAATCACGCATTAACAAAAACAGATATGAATAGATAATAGATAAGACCTTTTATCTATTCATTACGAGAATATAATATTTGTTTTTTTTAAATAAAATTCATTTCGACATTGTCTTAACCTTTTTTTTACTAGTCTGAGTTTGGTTGAACACGCACGTTAAACTTTTCCAAAAAATAATTACGTATTATTATCGGAATTCAAAATTCCTTGAGGTCGGTAATTATGAACGTTATTTGTTGCACATACAGTATATAAATTTTTAAAAATAAAATATGTTTGTTGTTTATTAATTAAACATGAAACATTTTGTTATATTCAGCAATATAATTTAAAAATTTTATATTTATTTATTTGATCAAAAGTCATGCTATTTGTTTTTTGGAGAAAAAAATTAATCCGAGAATGACTTAGCATCAACATGATTCCCTTGAACTATGTAAACAATCGATAACACTGGATGTACGAAATTTTTTATATAACGAACGAAAACGAACGAAGTATTGTAATAATAACGTCATGCGAAAATTCATATATTGGTTTATTGGAAGGGTCACACGGCTTATTTTTAGTACACAAGAAAAATTTCACAAATAGGAAACAGGGATGCGTTGATAAGGTTGATCGTCAACTCGCAGAAGAATGCTTATCAAATTTGTTCAGATTGGACTGGTTAGTCAAACCATCTTTTTCATTTCACCATTACACTTATTACACTTGAAGACTGATAAATCCAACCGATAAAGTCTTGACTCTACCTAAGTCGCACAATCGTAAGTTTAAATATGTAAATTCGCTTATCTCCTGCAATTTACAACAACTCAATAAAGTTGAAAGATTATCAGACTTTAAAATTTGTCTCACTGGAAAATTTGTATTCTTTGTCTTCAGAATTGATAAAATTCCTAACTCTCGGCTACATTTATGAGAGTATTAATTAAAATCCTCCTGCTACACATCCTTACATTTATATAATTACCCGCGAAGCCAACTCTATTGAGATCGAATTTTTTGTTTTGATAACAAAAAGAGGTAGTAAGCCAACTTTCGGTTTGCTCGCAAAAGATGTTTACCGCTGCTCAGTGGGGCAATGTAGGAAAAAAAGTTAAAAATAGACGGCACACAGATCCACAAACAAGCAGTTCCCACTCTTCGGAGGGTCCCCGCGATGATGGAGATGATTTCTGTAGCATTGGCGGCATCGATATTATGTCATTACCGAATGATAGCGGATTGCCAAATATAGAAGGCGGAGAATACTTTCTTCCCAGTAATTCCGATAAAGAAATCGAGAGATTACAGATGCAACATTATTTGATGCGTTGCATTTGGAAAGAAAATTTTTCTTCCCCCATAAAGGAGGACTTCATCAAGGGCGGAGTTAAAGTGTTGGACATTCAGTGAGTTTATTTGATGTCAAAGATATTTTCCTTTGTCGGCTTGAACTAATCGAGGTTCATTGTGTATTCTCTTCACCAAACAGATGCGGATCAGGTATCTATCACGGCATCAATTATTGTCACGAATATTTTGTGCAACTCATTTTATAAGAAGGCACGCGTCTCAACATGTGCCTAAATTTCTTGCCCAGGAATATGGATTACCGATTTAGCGACGGAATTTCCGTCGTCAACATTCATCGGTGTCGATGGTGACGAAGCGCGCGCCCGAATTCAAATTGAATTACCCAATGCAGTGTATCTTCACCACGACCTGTTGGATGAATTACCTTTTCCTGGTGAGTGTTTCCTGGACACTATGCTGAAAAAGTAAAGGTTGATCGCAAATTTTGTACTAAGATCATTGGCGTATTGTGAAAGATGACACATTCGATTTTGTGAACCAACGCTTTTTTACGATGGCGTCTGAGGAGAAATGGAAAAAGTGCATTTTACCAGAGATCATTCGCGTGACCAGACCAGGGGGATATATAGAATTCATGGAGATGGTAAAATGGCGTGAAATGGGAAAAGTGACGGAACGTGTGACAAAAGCCTGTAGGTTGCTTAGCTCCAACATTCCCATCATCATTATTATTCATCATTGAGCCGACTTTAATTTCATCCAATCTAGACGACGATTACATGAGGACCCTAGGGTTTTTCCGCTCAGATCCCTCCAAGTTCGAACAAATGTTGAGATCCACAAACCTTGTCAAGAACATTACGAGCGAATCAATTATTACCCCGTTTTGGGGCGGTCAGGCATCTCAACTGGTAGTTATTTATTCCCACATGTAATAAGTTTTATTATCCCTTCAAAAGTAAGCATCATCAAATTATTTTTCATAGGTTTGCCGAAATCAATTTGAAAAAATAGAAGCATGCAAATTGAATTTATGCGAATTTATGAACATCAGCGAAAAAGAATTCAACGAAATGATCAAGACGATGCGTGAAGAAGTCAATAATTGTAAAACTTTTTGCATGACATATAGGTATGTTGAGGGACCTCTATAACAATAATGAATATCCCGAATTTCTTATTGATCCACTTACGGTAAATTTAAATTTCAGAATTTATGGACAAAAAATTTAAAAGCATTCGAACGGTTGTATTCAACATCACAGATTCATCATTGTATAATTTTTTGCACGCAATGAATTTTTAAATATTTAAGCTTTTCATAAGGTAATAAGAATGTAAATAAAGTAATAAAAAAAAAAACTCCAGGAAAATAAGATCACCTGTTAATAATATATGAACCTTTTTTATTATTTTTATTATTATTATCATTTTGAAAATATGATGACGATGATGCATGTTGTGTAATTTTGGATACGTGAATGCTCGCTATTCTTGATCTCCACCAATGATTCCATTTCTAAATTCTTGATCAATGTCGATTTTATTTTAAAGATTATGGTTGTAGAATTTTCAGGTGTTCTCCGAAGATCCACACACGATATGAGAACACTCCTAGATTATTGATTAATGAAGTGCGAAAGGTTAGGATTTTTCTTTAGAGGAACCTGAATTGACACGACATACCAAGTATAATCAGAATGACGAGCAAAACCGTTAGCCAATACTTCCAACCAGTCGCTATGTCAGACTTTTTCTTCCACACAGTTTGTGTAGGTGATAATGTTTTTATAGGAATCACGATCTCGCAATTTTCATCCAAAGAATAAGGATATTTCCTATCGATGCTTAAATTACTTATGGCATTATGATGTAAGGGTAGAGACGACGAAGACGGCGATAATTTTGACATTATGTTATCAGTGATTTTGTGGAATCCGCTCGATAAAGATGTCGATAATCCTTGCGGTTGATGGTTGTTAATTTGTTTCGATGCGTAAGAGTTGTCAAGGTCAATATCTTCATCGATAAAGCTTGTTGTTTGTGTGGCGTCATAAATTGGAGGAAAAATCTTTGCGATCTTGATTCGGGATGATCTGGTGTGGTGGTTATGAGACATCGATTATTATTATTTCTAGTTTGAAAAATCGGTGAGGAATTATTGCCTATATATGGTTTCTATTTGGAGAATAAAATGAATTGTTTTTGGTTGTTTTTTTTTTAAAAAAAAAAAAATACGAAATTTGGTCTTAAATACAAAATTTTCATCAATCATTCAATCATTTGATAATGGACTGATCCGCCCCCCAACATTACACATTACGTAAATTTTAAAAAGATTTGTCAAATCGCCGATGTCAATCACTTTCGTCATGTGTGTGGGGAGAATAATAGAAACCGGAATCTGGGCGGACCGGATTATTTCCAAATTAGTTTGATTGTTGATTATAATAATAATTACAGTGGAGACAAAGAAATTTTCTCCTACAATGCTTGCCTGTCCTTTGTTGCTGAATTCGTCAATAGGTTTCTAAGATTATCGCGATGTACTTTGGAAACTCGCGAACATAATGTCAAGAGTTTTGCCTGAAGTAGTGAGTTTATATGCACAATAGACGGACATAAACAGACGATGATATTCATCATGCATATTAGGATGTCATAAGCTTGTTCTACCTTACATTTCACACTTTACTCTTTTTAATTGGTTACTCAGGCAAGCATGATTTTTTTCTTTTATGGTAGTCTCATATTTCCGAAGGTTCTTTTACGCATACTTCAAAGTGGGCGTAACAAGAACGATGATCCGGTGGTTATCGAGGAAATGATACCCGCCACGTTAAAGGTGTGAATCGTGTATATCAATAAATCGTTTCGAGCTTTATTTATGTTAACCGATTGAATGTTCACAAAAGGGATATAAGCGTCGTAAAGTATTGGGTACCTCTTACCCTGCCATAATTAAAGATGATAATTCAGAGACACACGGAGTCGCGGTCAAAGGACTAACACCCAGAGACATCTCGATTCTAGATCATTATGAGGGTGATGTATGTGCATAGATTTAGGATGTGACCTTTATTTTAATCTAATCATTACGCTTTGATTAGCAATACATGAAAAAAGATGTCGAAGTTTTTCCCATTAATTCGAAAGGTGACAACGGTCAACCTAAAGGTGCTCCAATATCAGCTCAAACTTATGTGTGGATAGATTCACCTGAATTTTTGGAAGATCAAGACTGGGATCAAGAAGAATTCAAGAAACGAACTGACGAGTATTTAGAAGAGGAACTAAGGAATTTCTAGGTTTAGGCACATATATCAGATCTCTTTTAATTAGTGACTAGGTCAGAAATTAAATGGATGAACAAAAATCTCGGCTAAAAGATTCATGCTTTTTGAGCAACAAAATTGTAAGCTTTGTTAAAAGAATGATGCTCATCGAACTCTTTAATACCCTTTTCGATAAATTCGTCAAGCTCTTGTTGACTTTTGGCATCCACTTTCGAGATTATGTTATCTTTGTATGTTTGTGCCAAGTTTCTCCAGAAGCTCGCCATATTGATACCGATCTGGGTTATACAGAAAGAAATAAATAAAATAAAATTTTCGATAAGGAAAAGTAATTGATTTCGTGGATGACTTTAACTTACCTCTCCGCCGTGTTCGCCCAACGGAATGTCATAGGTCCTCTCTTTAACATTTATAAATCCGTTTTCCGTTAGAATACTACCAAGCTGGCGAACTTTTTGGGCGTTCGTATTATCTTTTCGCAGCGTGTCGTACAGAATTCCCTCCAGTGACTTACATGTGGGACCCTTTGGTCTGCGATGTGATCGACATTTTTATTGTTAATGTCGGTGGAAATCACCGAAAAGTCTCTATGTAATTAATTTTAGAAATTTACCGGAATTCAAAATCTAATTCCTTTATGTATCGAAATAGAAAAGGTTGATGATTTCAGAACACAAGGTTATCTAAAGCCTGGAAAAACATCATGAATGAACGACATACAGTGAACTCGATCCAGCCACCTTTCTTGAGGACCCTATTTAACTCCCCCAAAAGAAAGTTGTATTTATCTTCTTGGATAAGCACCATTGTACATCTAAGATATACATAGTCGAAGTACTCGTCCTTTGATATTTATAAATTAATCACGACGTTTTATTATCAGGTTAATCGATCTTAAGTTAAAGAACCAATGGCAGAAAATGGACGCCCTTGAATCTTACCGGAAATTTAATCCCCGCTTTATAAAAAAAAAAAAACTTTCTTTAAATAACTCTCATGTACAGTGAAAAAAAAAATTTGTAATAGAAAACGTTTGAACTGCATACTATAGAAATCTCCCTTTTCAAAGTGACAATTATGAGGATAGATGTCATTTGGTGCACTTGATCTCTTGTCCAATCCGTGGAACTCGCAATTCTTGAATTCACTAATAATTATCATAAATGATGGTTGAACTCCACTTATCCCAAATGGCATTGAAAATTATGTGTTACCTTGCCAATTCCATCATCAGTATTCCGCTGGAATAACTGAGAAAATGAAAATCAAATAAGGTTAGCAAGAGAACCAAGATCACAAGAAACCCATTAATTTATGAGGCTTACCCCAATTCCAAACATCTCTGTTTTTAAAATTTTGATGTTATTAAAATTTTATTACCGACTGGCTTACTTTTACCAAAAACTCACCTTGATGTCTCTTCCCAGCGGTGCGAGATAGTTTCCCCCAAGGACGCATTTGAAGACCTCGTGCTAATCACAAAGAATTTCAATTAATTACTTACTTGAAATGTGAATTTAGATTAGTTATTGGAAATTCGAACCTACTATCCGAAAAGATTGATCAATCTGTTCCCGAATATCGAAAAAAAAAAAAAGATGTTATGTTTCTTAACAAACATCGTTTTGGATTTTCGACATTTTTTGTTTGGCCTTCCTACCTCTCTATTATCTTGATCAATTTTGGCATAATCGACTTCCACGATGTCTTCGGTTGAATCATATTCATCGTCGTCGCTAACTCTTTCATTCGATGGTGAAGACATTAGATTCAATTTTCGTTATGAAGCGGCTAATTCAAAGATAATTGCCATAGAATAAAGAGATAAAGCTTTATTTAGATTAGCCTTATCGTCATTTGCGAATGAAAATCTTAAATTAAAAAAAAGAACAGAATTCTTTGTCCAAGAATTCTATCAAAAAAAAATTCTACCCAGAAACGTTTGCCCAATAAATGCTAGTGGAAAAGATAATTCCAATGCTTGTGATGTTTCTAATGATTCTATGAATGGGGTTGAACCCCAAAATACTTTCAACTCAACATATCACGTGTAAATGTAAGCCGCAGTCGAACAGATGTTACGAAGACGTGTGGTGTGATTCATAAA